ACAAGAACTGGATAGCTGTTCTTGCAGGAGAAGGAAGAAGGAAGAAAGAGGAAGGGAGGGGCAAAGAGCGACGCGCCTCAAGGAACAGTTACCTCGTGTCCACGAAGGGAGGGGCAGTTCGCGTTCGCCCACGACCCCCCCGGTGGTTCCCTCCCCCTCCGGCGGCGTGAGGGTGGTGGGAACCCTGGATCTCGTCTATGGTGTTTATTAGGTGTGGGGTGTGTGCTTTGGTTGGCGGCGCTTTGGAGGCGGAGGTGCGGTCCATGGGGAATACTCCTTCCCCTCTCTGGCGTGGTCTGCTGCTTCGTCAGATAGTAGGTGGCGTTCGATCCTCATAGATCTGCAGATTCGGCGAGACATTGTGCCCTCTAGGCGGCCGACGAGGCGTTGACGATGCCTGCTCGTTGTGGGGATGTTGTCCTTCGGCCCTTTTGGCGTAGCATTGCCATCTCCTCCAGCGGTGGTATGGGGTTGGTGAGTTTTGGTGCAACGGTGTCCTAACAGTCATTGTTGGGCTTGGCGGCTGCTTGTTCAGGAGGTGCGCCGGCGTAACCGGCATAGGAGTTTATGGATATTTGATTTCAGATGCGGCATCGGCGATCTCTTCTATAGGACGATGGTCTGGAAGGAATGGTGTTTCGATGACTTCCCGTCTACGACAACAACTAAGGTTAGCCTGGCTCCGGCGAGGAGGGGCAGCAGCGGTGCACCATCAGCACGTCGGGGTGGAAGACGACGACAGCTCCCTGAGGACTTTGTTGTATTATCTGTCTTTGTTAAGGGGTGCTTTGTGATGCCTGTTCCTAGTTAATAGATCCAATGTCTTCTTCGCAAAAAAAGGAAGAAGGAAGAAAAGGGAATTGGGGTAGGCACCTGCTGGATTCCGCTTCTCTCTCTCTCCGAGCCTTAAGTAATGGTAGTCACATTGGCGTGGTTCACCCACCCGTGGCTGAAGTAACACTTGTTGGGTGCTGATGCACGATTACTGCATGCATCGCGTGGTTCCATCACCCTGACAGTTCGGCTCGCCTTGACAGGTGATCTAACATCCCCGCATTCTTGAGACGAGGCTTGACCCCAAGCCTCACCATGCGGGAATCTTGCCATAAGACTAGCTTTGTCCTCTCAGGTGGTGCCCATGGTTGCGGGACTTGACCACTCCAACTGCACTTAGCTCACGCACAACATCTTGCGTCTTGCGGCAGCGAGTCTGAAGCACCGCCATATGAACAACCAGATCATCAATACATATAGGTAAATTAGGTTCGACACTCGTACCAGGAAGCAATGCTCGGCGTAGCTGGGATACGTGGCAATTGCAATATGCAGGCGGCGTATTAACCTTCTGGATGATAGGAAAGGGGCCGAAGAACTTGCACAACAACTTGTGGTTCGCATGCGGCGCAAGGGATGTCTGAATGTAAGGTTGAAGCTTGAGGAAAAACGGATCGTCGAGGTTGAATGTTTTGAACGAGCGTCATTTGTATGCTTGGGTTTTCATCAGTTGTTGCGCTCGGTCCATTTGTTACTGCAGCAGGTCTTGGATGATAGCGTGTTCCTCCAGCCACGATTGCAGTACAGGATAGAGCACGACGAGGTGGCATTAAGCCCCTAATACCTTGGTTCATAGCCAAACATGGCCCTGAATGGCCTCATCCCGATGGTTGAGTGATGACAACTATTGTAATCTGGTTTGCGCCGGTATGGTTTGATGTTAACAAGTTGCGCTCCCGTAATGAGAGGATTAAGATGGCCGATGTCGCGATGCGGTGGAAACTTTGTAGGTTCATCGAAAACATCCATGAAGTTGTCGAGGACTGAAAGTGCGAGATATCGACCAGAGGGATGGGTGTGATTGGGAGATTTTAATAGATTCTTCAAAAAGAAAAGTTTATTGAAGAATAACAAGGTGACGAACAATTAAACAGAGAAGTTGCTACACACAAGCATGCTTATCGAAGTAGACACAAAGTCCTCATGACAAAATAGGACATGCATAGCGAGTAGTAAGACATACAAACATGCAAGTACAAAGATGAATGTGGGAGATATAGCTAAACAGAAGGCAAAGATAATGCAACATGACTTGATGAAATTGTGAAAGTCTTCGGTTGAAGTCTTCAAGAGAGGGAGGACAATTTCTTCAAAACATAGATGCGGAAATTAAAGGGTTTAAGAAATAGAACCGGATTGCTCGATGAAGACAATGGATTTGCTTGACCAGTTTGTTATTGTGACAATTTTACGTCTGGTTAGGGAGACTTGGGATTCAATTCAGTAGACACTTAGGCTATACCTTGTTCCCCTTGAGCTAAGGTCACCGAGACCCTGCCCAACCACTCATGGTAAGTCTTCAAGGTAAACTTCCAAAACCTTCACAGGCTTGTCCTATAGCACTCCACAAATTCTTCTTGAGTGCTCAAAATTTGATGCCTAACCGTCTGGAAGATCACACGGGCTTCAAAGGTAACAAGCATCGGATCACACATGACAATCTCTTCAGTGATGCTCAATTACTTTGGCTTTGGGTGTTTGGGGTTTTTCCCCATGAAGGATTCTCTCAAGTTCATTGGAGGATGGGTTTCTCTAGATGACACTTGTCAATCAATCACTCGGATCAGCCAACCAACAAATGATTGTGGGGGCGGCTATTTATAGCCAGGGGCAACCTGACATGACTTGACCATCATGCCCTTCGGACACGACCGTTGTCAGAATAAGGATCCACTCGATAGCTGGCACTCGCGCAACAACAGTCAGAATTTTGAACTCTCAAATTCCTCAAGGTAGGAGGATCCCACTGGCGAATTCCTAACATTTTAGTGGACCAATTTTGTCAGCGACCAGAAGAACTTCGTCTCTGTCGCTGAAGAACTCAACTGCACCGCAAGAGATTTCCATACCATTCACTCGAAGAAATAGGTAAGTTTGGATTTTGAGCATCACTTTGGAAATACGCCTATGTATCACCTAGACCCCTTTAATAGTACCGTGTTCCTTATTGACTCAATTAAAGAAGAAAGAAACTACGAAAATAAAGTCTTCCAGCTTCCAATTCTTCAAAGGGAGCACCAATTTCTAAAATGTACGCATACATTTTTAGAGGTCGTCTTTCTTGGTTAAACCAAAATCTTTAGGGGCTATATCTCCTATGTACACTCACAAACACATTAGTTCCTTAACTCATTTGTCTTCAATACTCCAAAACCACTAATGAGGCACTAGATGCACTTACAATGTCCCTCTTTTTGGTGATTGATGACAAATTGATTAAGTTTTCAATGGAGATAAATAATAAGAAGTGTATGTACATATTTGAAGATTTTGATTTTAGGATATAGAGGAGCTGCCCTGAAGATGTGCATATGATGAATTTGCTTTAGATTGCAAATGCACATGACATGTTGGAATTGTGGATATCCCCCCTATATCTTGGAATCTAATAATGCATTGAATAGATAATATGAAGAAATTGCAATGCACAATGGAAAGTAGTGTCTCACGAATTTCAGCATGCATGCATATTAACTAGGAAACAAGATGAAGA